TTCACAGCTTCGTCTTTTAGGATTTTAGTGCACGGTGTCATTTATTTATTCATTCCCCCATGAGTAGACAAGTTCTTTTGTCTTCAACATCTTGTTCTCACAGGTAGTACTCCATGAGCAGTCTCGTGCATAAATCTTCATGCTCTCTGCTGGTAAAACTGTAGTTAAGTGTCTAGAAGTGGAATGGCTGAAACACGAGGTAACTATCCTTAAAATTTTATAGATTCTGCCAAGTGCCTTCCAGAAAATGTTACCAATTTTATATTTCCACAAATAACATAGTAATACAGCTCCTTTCCCCAGGACTTGCCAACATCAGATATTATCAGACTTTTTCGTTATTTTCCAATCTGATGGTAGAACAATGATGTCTCATTACCTTATTACTTCCTATTTTCCTACTCAATCATTAGTCTCAGAATGTTTCCATATGTCTATTATTTTTTTCTTTAATTTTTAAATTTCCTTTGCTTACCTTCTCTTATTGTTTTGTAAATGCGAACATTTAACACAGTTGAAAAATTTCTGATTAGCCTCCAACTAATAAAAATAAATGAAAAAAAAAAGAAAAATTTCTGGTGGGGGGAGGAAATTAACTGTAAGCCTGTATTTGGACCTGAGGCAAAAATTCTTCTTGCTTCCCCAAGGAAAGTCAAGATGTGCTACCTTCAGGATTCATTTGCTTTTTTTTATGATAACATTGGAGCTCCCGCTGAAAAAGAAGGAAAAGAATTCTTTTGCTTTGGTGCTGCTTTAGTGAAGGGAGGGTTTTGACTTTGGTAAGTGTAGGGAGGCTGCGAATGAAACCAAGGACTACTCCAGAAGGAAGTAATGTGCATGGAAAAAAAGTGAGACATAGCTGTAGGCGATTGTTGAGGGGAGCCTTGCATAAAGAAAGTAGGGAGAGACTCTCATTCATTCATTGTCACTTCTCAGCAATGGCTCAATAGCCTTTGAGTCCTCCTCTCATCTTACCTTCACCAGTAATTACAACTGTGACTGTTTCCCCAGTGACTTCTCCTGAACTCAAGGTGTTCCCAAACTCACCATTTGTGTTCCCTTCTCCTCAGTCAACCTGTCCTTTCTTCCTGACCCTTTTCACTTTCTTCTGTTGTTGAATCACCCCTCCCAGTAGCACAGGCTTGTAAGTTCAGAGAACTGTTTTTTATATTCTTCCTTCTCAGATTTGACAAAGCCTAGAGATTTTGCCAATGAAATTACTCTTCTCATTTTCTCCCCACTTTGCCCCAACACTTTTCCTCTTTGTTCACCCATGAACTTCTGTTCTACCTTCATAACTCAGATGTGCCACCTCCTCCAGAAAGTCTCTGCTGACTGCTTGCACTTCCCTCCACTCCAGCACATACTTTATATACATCACACTATTTTTTCTTTAGACTATTTATATATCATTCTCTAAACCTTGAAGAAAGGAACTCTACCCTTTTCATCTTTATGTTCCCCAGCACCTATCACAGTGCCTGGTACATAATGGGTGTTCAGTGAACTTTAGTTACATTGAATTGTTTAGCTGCTAACAAATTTGAGAGGGGAGCACACCGCTTGCTGCCTAAGAGGCCTTAACAGTTTCATGATGCCTACTCCAGGAATAGCAAAGTCCTCAAACCAGCATTTAAGGCTTTCATGATGTAACCCAATCTTCCATTCCCTCCCCACTTTGGTAACTAGTCATTATTTCTCTGCTATATCCCTAGCTTGTATGCCCATCCTTCTTCTAGGCTTAAACATCTTTCCACATCATCTACCAATAATTTGCCCAAATCCTCCTCATCCTTCTAAGGTTACCCCAAAACTCAGTCCTCAGAGAGAACATTCGCTAATCTCCAACACAGCTCTTCCTCCAAACATCACCTGGCTTTGGAGATGTCAGGATTACCACATTACTATTACCACCGAAGAGACACGCTGATCAAATCTCTGTTATGAAGTATTTGATAATGAATTAATTGTAGTTTTTTCTTGCTCTGATGATTAAATTTTTAAAAATCCCATAATTAAAAAAAATCAACTATTGTTTTCCATCACCCACTGTTAGTCAGGAGAAAATATTTTTGCACCCACCAATGCATCCCCAGTCCAGCTCCTGATACATAGTATTCTCTAAAAGTACCAAATTATAAGACGTCTCAGTGATTTAGGGCTGGTTTTCCTCAATCTCTTCACCAATATTCCCTTCTCACCCCGCCCAGTGGAAGGCTGCTGCATCTCTTATAATTATTACTTTCTCAGAGAGACCTTCCTTGCCCACAAAGCATCAACATTTCCCATTATACTCTTCAAATGCATTTTCTTCATGGCCCTCACTGTCCATTTGTTTTTGTAATGCCTGTTTCCCCCACAAATCTATCTCCATGAGGGAACAGAGCATGTCTATATTGTTCTGTGTTGACGAAGCCATTTCTTAAACAATCATTTTTTTGTTATATACTATGAAAATACTTTCTTCAAGTATGCTGCTCATTTTTTTAACTTGAGATAGTCTGTAGTCAAATCTGTTCATCTTTCCATGATGGCTTCTAAAGTTCCTATTATGTATATTTTTAATCGCTTCTTTGGACTATGCTCCTAGAGGTAGAAAAGTTGAATGGGCTTTTCTTTAGAGTCTTGATGCATTCTTTAAATTGGATATGTCCAGCTCTGTGGCAAAAGTGTGACTTGCATTCTTGAAGCTCAATCACAGGTCCTGTGTTATCAGATTTTGCTAGGCTAGAAAGAATTCATCTGATGCCCCCTAAAAATAAGGGTGCTCCCCAAAATTACAGGAATCAGTTACCTCAAGCAGGGAGGATGTGTTCAGCACAGGGTACGAGGGGGAAGCTTTGGTACTCCCCCCTGTCCATTAACACCAAATCTGCTGATATCCCTCTGATGGTTTACCTTTACTCAATGAATGAGCAGATCTGCCCATACCCATTGCTCCTCAATAATTGCCTTTCCTTTACTGTTAATATCAACTGGATTACCTCCAAGTTCTGAGTTCAGCCTGAGAATATAAATGCAGCTCTCTTTCCAGGTCACATTCTAATCACGGTAATATGTGGCATCTTATCCAACTGGGTACACAACTTGACCTGTCTACTCCAGCCTAGTTACCATGGATGCTGTCAACAAACAACTGTTTCTGTCATAGAGAAATGACAGAGAAGAATGTAATGTACTATGAGAACAACCTGGTAAATACTATTGGATGGGATAACACGCACACAAAAGTGTGATGACCTCAGTTCACATTTAGCCCTTAGCCATCTCTGTGAACATCATATGACTTCACCTGATCTTTAATCACCCCACAACACATATGGGAATCCCGCAAGGTAAGTCAGGTCAAGTGCTCAATGGGGCCCTCCTAAATTAAACCTGCTTGTAATGAACACCATCATTTCCATTGCTTTTCCTCTGCAGATTAAAGAGTAGAATTCTTTGAAATACTTTGGCTATTCCAGATCCCACACACAGGGTGAGAAAAGCAAAGGTGTGCTTTTCTTTTACTTCCATTCTTAGGATGTATTAAAGTAAAAAGAAGGAATTTTTTTACCTTAAATTTACTTGCTTCATCAGAGAAGTTTTATTTAGTCTTTTGACTTCTTGACCATTTTTGTTGCTGTTGTTGTTTCATAGAGCTATGCAATTATGTAAAAAAGGATTCAGAATGTAAAGACATAAATCACAGTGGTATCGAAACTTATCTCCAAGTGCAGATGCAACTTGGAACTTTCTCTATGTTTCCATAACTGAGCTTGAGTAGCAACAAAGCAAAGTAGAACTCAGAAAGAGTCATCAGACATGGTCCCAAACCTGATCTCTTGCAGGGCAGAGGGTTCAGAAAGGGAAAAATATAAGAACACAAATAGCTACAATATAATGTCATAAGTGAGAAAAGCCATATTTGGAAGAAGGAGTGAGGAGAAGCAATCAGGGAAGATACCTCGTGGCACATAGGTTGTGCTGGACATTTAGTGGTATAAAATAACGTCTTGGGCAGAGATTTGGATAAAGGACATTTCATACAGAAGGACAGAGTGGCGAAGTCTCTGATGGAAAGGGGAAAAAGTGAGTCAAATTGACAAGCTAATCCCTTTTGAATCTTGTTTTTAATTAAAAGAGTTAAGCCTAATGGACGGAATGTATTACGGGAAGGAAACAGACTGAGGGCTTTTTTTATCCCCACAAGGGAAAATAACCCGTTCTTTGGTCTGTTCCTCAAGTTCCAGCGAAAGGAACTTTCAGTTCCCGACCTGTACCATTCAGGGATGGAGAAAACGCCGGAAGAACTCCAGGCTGTTGATTCTCTTCGCTGTCCAATAGCAGAGCAGCCCATGCTCTTGGACAAAGCTGATTAGCTACTGTAAAAGCCCCGCTCTGAGCGAGGACCAATGATGTCTCCGAACGCAGGTTCTTGGAAATAGTTTCTGGCCAGGAATGCGTGACATTGAGACGGCCGTCTCTGGTAAACAAGGACGGGTCTGGGCTGGCCCGCAGCCCACGCTCCCCGGGGTCCTGTCCCACGGGTCTGATCTCGAGCCCTGGTACCCCTGACGTCCGCTTGGGCTTCCTGGTATCCCCTTACCCTGGCAGCCTCTGGGGCCAGTCCCCCGCCACCTGGAGGCGGGACCCAAAGTTCTTTATCTGAGCCGACTGGCGCAGCCCCAAGTTCAGGAAGCTCTCCAAGGCCCAGTGACTCCTCCCCCCGAGCTGGGGCGGGGTGGGGGGACGTGCGGGGAAACAAATAAAACCTCGGGAGGCGACGGGAGGTGACAGGACACGAGCTTGAGTCTCAAGCCACCTACGGCTCCGCAGACTCACCGGCTGACTCCTCAACCGCGAAGCCGCCCTTCCCCGGAACCTCAGCGCAGGCCGGGGCGCACGAGGCCGCTGGCCCACCTGCTCTCCCTGCCCGGACGCGTCCCGCGCCTTCTGCGGCCCCAGGTCGGCCTTCACCCCGCAAAGCAGCCGCAGCTCCCGGAACGGCGGGCATCAAGATGAAGGCGGCGCGCTTCGCGATGCGCAGCGCCGGCACCCTGATCCCCCGCGAGGTCGAGCACTTCTCGCGCTACAGCCCGTCCCCGCTGTCCATGAAGCAGCTCTTGGACTTCGGTGAGCGGGGACGGGGGCCCGGGAGGGTCTGGGGCGCCGCCTCGGCGTTCAGACCCGGGATTGGGGGGGCTCGTCAACTTAAATCCACCCGGCTCCGCTTTCCTGCGGAGCCCTGGAACCTCGACGCCAGCACGCTTGGTCTTTCTTAAATCTGCCTCCTTTCTGACAGTCTCTGCCTGCAGGTCGAGGCCACTTGGAGCCCCGCTGATGCCTGCCGGATAGCCTGAGCCCACCCTCCTCATTCTGTCTAAGCTTTCAGTCAAAAGACTTTTTGCCTCCAGTCAGCATTTAACAATAGTGAAACTTCCCTTTTTTCCTAAAGAGGAGACGTTTTCCCCTCCTTCATCGCATATTACTTCTTGGAGAAGATTCCTTGTATTATTAAGTAGGCTTGAATTAATTGCTATTTTAACCTCTAGCCACCTCCCACAGGGTTCATCTCTCTGTAGTCCTAACAAATTTCTTTGTTTCTTTACCTTTGCTGTTTTCTCTATACTTGCATTACTGCTGAAAATATTTGCAAACTTGCGGCAGAAAAATCTTATAAAGAAAATTTCAAGGATTTAAATATAATTATTATTTATCGCTAGTCTGTAAATATCAGGACATCCTCCTCCCCACCCCCAATCTCCTTACTCCAGCTTCCTATCTAGAACTCTGAATGATGTTTGTCTTCTTAACCTTGTGGTTGGATTGAATCCTGCACTCTTTTAGCAATACTAAGAGCCTTGGGATATTATGACTTCTTGGAAGTGAATCCTCGTGAAAAAGAGAAAACAGTAATTCTCATATTTGGTCACTTTTTCCAAAAGAAAGAAAAAGTTGATGAAGAAGAAGATGCTTACTAATGAATTATAAGTACATGCTTACTACTGAGGGTGAAAAAAAATTTTGTAATATGTATGTGTGTGTTCAAAACTGGATAGTTAATGCTACTCAAATATATAATTTAGGTTCATGTTTTTGAAAAAATAAATGTTGTTTATTGCAGGTTCAGAAAACGCATGTGAAAGAACCTCTTTTGCATTTTTGCGACAAGAGTTGCCTGTAAGGCTAGCCAATATCCTGAAGGAAATTTATATACTCCCTGACCGACTAGTAAATACCTCTTCAGTGCAGTTAGTTAAGAGCTGGTAAGTGGTGAAGCATTCTGAAACAGTCTCTAGTTTTAAAACAGTTATTTGAGTATGAATTCTTACAATTATTAAAATCTTAATTGGAAAACAGGTGGTCTGAACCTTAACTACTTAGCAAGATGTAAAGAATTTTCTATTAATCTAGGATAAGTTATCCTAAGGGCAGTTATAAAGCTATAAACCTGAAAAAGTAGATATTTTCACAATATAATTTTTACCTCTAGAAGAAAATATGGAAAATAATCAATAGTTATCATATTTGTGTTTTAAATCATAAAAGAGTTTGGTATTCCAAAAAGAATCCTATCCTAGAAATAGATACGGAATGACTACTATTTAGAGAGGGCCTAAAATGTCTTGCTGGCATTTGGCTATACCATTCAAAAACTTAGTGGAGAGTCTGGCTAGAATTAAAAATTTGGCAGTATTCTGAATAAAAAAAAAGAAGACATCAAAGATGGGGGCTTCCCTCATAGCTCAGTTGGTAAAGAATCTGCCTACAATGCAGGAGACCCCGGTTCAATTCCTGGGTCAGGTAGATCCACTGGGGAAGGGACAGGCTATCCACTCCAGTATTCTTGGGCTTCCCTGGTGGTTCAGCTGGTAAAGAATCTGCCTGCAATGCAGGAGACCTGGGTTCGATCCCTGGGTTGGGAAGATCCCCTGGAGAAAGGAAAGGCTACCCACTCCACTATTATGGCCTGAAGAATTCCATGGGCTGTACAGTCCATGCGGTCACAAAGAGTCGGACATGACTGAGTGACTTTCACTCACTCACTCACTAATCTTTGTTGCTTACGAACCAATTAATGAAGCAGCCTCTGGATTCAAATCCCAGGTCTGTCCCTTCTTAGTTGTAAAAATCCTTGGTTAGTATCTTATCTCTAGGCCTCAATCCCCCCAGTCTATTTTGGAGGAGAATAAAGCTGATGCCTCAAAGGGATATTTGGGTATAATTAAATGAGGTAATCCATTTAAAAGACACTGAGGATCTGGCCCATAGCCAGCACTCAGTTCAATTATGATCTCTTTTTGAAAATAAATACTGAGTTAGGGAGAGTAGATAACCCAAAGCAGCAGATTTTCAGAGGACAGAGCCAGGTTATACACTGAGGCACATAAATACCAGACCTTCACCCTAACCCACCTTCTGCACAGCTCTTCGTTTACTGATTTAAGGAATATATGTATTATACAGCCATTAAGCATTTGCAATCTGAAACACAGGCTAGTATTTACTGCTACTTTCAAGACTTCTCTCCTATGAATGCAGTAGGAAAAAAGCATGAAGCCTTTCTGTAAAAGTTGTTTCTAAATGATTTTGCTACAAAAATAAAGACTCTTGACAAACAAAACAGAAAACTGACTAGTGATCTAGGATAGTTAAAATTTTAAGTTATTAAGTTGAGGGTTAAATTGTTTTCTTTTTTCTAAGACATAATGTTTTCCAAATGTCTTGGAAGAAAGTTTTCGTTTTAATTATACTTTCCCTCTTCAAATCTTTTGAAAAAGGCAGTCAGTTTTCAGCCACCTGTAACTGACTATTCAATTTTAAAACTTAAAGTACACCTATTGCTTTGTAGGTATATGCAGAGCCTGATGGAGTTGGTGGAATTCCATGAGAAAAGCCCAGAGGACCAGAAGGCGTTATCAGAGTAAGTGTTATGCATTAGAAGTGTCTCAAACTTTGACTCTAAACATCATATTATTTTTTAGAACTAACTTAACGGATAATTTATAATGTTGTCCTGAATAGTAAATAACTATCCCTTTACAAATGACAAATTTTGGCCTGTTGGTTTTTAAAAGTAGTGGAGAATAATGGCATTGAACATGATTATGAGAATGAAACATGTAGAGGATTTTTTGGAAAAGGAAATCTATTTTTATTATAAATTTAGTATGATGACCAGATTTGTAGAAGGACTTCCTATCACATAATACTAACACATGACACTGTCATTGGAGAGTAAACATTTTCTTTCAGAGTAACTGACAGTTTCTAACTATGATTCTTTTCTAAATCTGACAAGAAATTTGAAGTTTCTTTCACAATGGCATTTTAGAGCCATCTCCAATATGACTTATTTTTTTAATTATTATTTTTTAAAAGAGGATCCTTAGTGAACAACTAGAATGAAAACACCAGTCACAGAGCTGGTATTTTCACATGCAAGCTAAAAGCAAAATAAATCTGTTTATGAAACTATCTCTGCTACTGTAGTCAAAGAATCTGTAGTGAGAATCTAAATAATGCTTCATCCAAACATATTATCATTTGATTTGTTTAGATGGGTCCTTGAAAAAAGCTTTAACCTTCTTTGAAGTAATCTAAGAAATATAAATTAATGAAACTTACTTGAACCTCTATTAACCATAAACGTATTTTGGCTTAGTTTTGTAGATACTCTCATCAAAGTTCGAAATAGACACCATGACGTAATTCCTACAATGGCACAAGGAATCCTAGAATATAAAGATGCCTGTACAGCCGACCCAGTCACCAATCAAAACCTTCAGTATTTCTTGGATCGATTTTACATGAATCGTATTTCTACCCGGATGCTAATGAACCAGCACAGTGAGTTAGTTCATCACGATAGTCATGATAAATATAGAGATGGGTGGAGAATATAAGCTGTACTCTAACTTAGATACTTCACTACTTGGTGGGTCACATTCTCTCTCAGTGGTAGTTCTAATCATTGTTATCCTGATTTTTATAATGATATTCTTTGTTTTTATTTTTCAACAGTCCTTATATTTAGTGACTTACAGACAGGAAACCCAAGCCTCATTGGAAGCATTGATCCAAACTGTGATGTGGCAGCAGTGGCCCAAGGTAATTTGTAGGTTTCTGCATCTCCCTTATTGAAAATGTACACTATCTGACTGATACATCTAGTCAGTTGAGGTGACTCTCTGAATGAATTCAAATTCAGAGTGTTCCTTTTATGTTTTTATAAATTCTGTAATGAAGGTCCTTTACTTTTGAGAGTCAGGTGTTTAAATATTCATTATAAAAAATTCAAACATCAATAGCTAATGTGCCATATTCTCATATATTGTATTTGATCTTTGATGTGCACATATTCCTATAGCAATAGCTATAACTTAAACATTGTCTTCATTTTTTTCAATAAAATATTAAAAAGGTATTTTTAATATACATAAACCTCAACTCTAATGAATATTTTAGACTAAAGGTAGTGTATACACTGATGATGGCTTGAAAATTTTACTTGGCATAAATTCATTTAATCATTATGAAAAACACACTTCCATTCCAGATGCCTTCGAGTGTTCCAAGATGCTTTGTGATCAGTATTATTTAACATCTCCAGAATTAAAGCTAACACAAGTGAATGGTAAGTTATAAATTAGATATATTTTAATCTGTAGAAAATTCAGTGTTCTCCCAGTATGATTTCTTCCTGTAAATACAAAGCAATTTATGTGTTCCTTTTTTCCCTCCTGAACTTGCCAGAATTTTTACACTTTTGTTTTTTTTTTTGAAACCAAGGCTCTCTTATCTCAACTGGAAAGTTCCAATTGAGTATATTCAGTTGCTAAAGACAATTCATAAAGAAGAATGGTTTGAACAGATAATGTAGGATTTAGGGAAGCAGCTAAGTTCCAGTATCTTAAATCAAAGAAAGATTGCTAGCTCCAGAATGTGGTGATAAGGCAGGCAGAGTCGGAGGAACCACTTGGTAGTGGAGATATATTCCTAAGGAGGTTACTTATCAGACCTGAAAACAAAAATACTTTAAACTGTACTATAAGAAAGAAGCCAGTCACAGAAGGACAAATACTGTGTGCCTGCACTTACATAAGGTATCACAAATAGTCAAGCTCATAGAGTTGAATGGCGGTTGCCAGAAGCTGAAGAGGGGAAATGGGGAGCTGTTATTCCGTATGTATAAAGTTTCAGTTATGCAAGATGAATAAGTTCTAGAGATCTGCTCTACAGCGCCACCCTTACAGTTAACAACACTGTATTGTATAGTTAAATATTTAAGGTATATCTCATGTTAAATGTTTTTACCAAAAATTAAAAAAAATTTTTTTTCATGTAAGTATACACCATGGTTTTGGAAGCAGAACATACTTTAGAAGGGCTTCCCACACTGCCTGAAGTAATTACAGGATGAGTGCAACTATTTTTATCTTATCCCATAGTTGCTTCTCAAAGCAAGACCATACACTTAAATTCAAATAACCTTCTCCTTGCCACTCAAAGTAAACATCTTTTTCAAGTAATCATTATACAGGAACAATATTTGTTGGTGGAGAGAATTTAAATCAAGTTGTTCAAATTAAGAGTACCCTAGCTCCTGGATTTGGGAAAGGGAAATGGAATTGATGGCTAAACTAAAAGTAGGAGTGGACTGAAAAATATTTCTCAGCATTAACAGAAATGTTGCATAATACTTGCAGATAAACTGCTTTAACTGTTTGCTAAAATAAAGAGGAAATTGTGCCAGACCTTGTTTTCAAACTCTGCCAAGGCCTGAAACACTGAAGAATAATACTTTTTTTTTCTTTTCAGAGTATTATGAGGTTTTTGTTTCTGTTTTCTGTAGCCTCTTGGTGAAATTTAAGCATATTGAGCCTATGGGATTTTATGTTTAATTCACAAAAGTCAAGAATAATCAGATGTGTTATTTTTCCATGCATTAAAAATATGAAAATTATATCTAGCTAGCATCAATTTTTATGTTATTGTAGACTTTTACATTTATTTTTCTTATTTCTTAAAATGCATATAATTTTAACTCTGCAAGTGTTCAACACAAAAGTTTTGAAAGTAGAAATAACTAATCCATGTAATCTAATTTAGAGCACCCTCATTTTACATTTATCTGGCTTTATGTATTTGTACAGAAATGCAAAAATTAAATCATAGAGCACTAAGAAGCAACTGTAATAGCATTTTGAAAATAAGCCAGCTGTGTTTACTGTTTGAAAGGGAAGGTTCTAAGGTAGGATTTTAGAAGGATGGGGAGTATCCCGATTCTGTTCAAATCTAAAATATTAATCAAATAGATATGAAAATATATTTTAATGAAATATTTGTTTCCCAATTCTAAATGAGCTTAATTTTTTTTCTAGTTAAATTTCCAGGCCAACCAATTCATATTGTGTATGTTCCATCTCACCTTCATCATATGCTCTTTGAATTATTCAAGGTAAGACACTTCACAATAATTGCATTTTTTTAAAAAGTTCACTGGTTACATTTTAATTTATCATCCTCTACTAAACAGGAGCCTCACTCTCTTCTCCCAAGCATGCTTCTATGTTCTAACAGGAAGAAGCTACAGTTAATGTTTGAAAGGGTATATGCAGTTCCTTGTAGCATCAACATGTATTTGAGAATGTACAATATGATCCACTATGTCACACTGCTCCCTGTTCCCATTATATTTTCAGGTGTCCAACAAAGCACTAGTTATTCATGCATTCATTAAGGAAGGTCATAGGGTGAATGCTTCAGTGACTGAGGCCTGTTTACCTCCACGCCCATGGCCAGTCCAACTCCAAATCCAGAAGTTCAGGTCTGGAATTACTGGAGGTGGCAGGGCCCCCGTCTATGACGAATATACTCGGAGGGCAGTCAGCTCCTTCAGTGACCTACTTTGATGTGAATCTGCATCGCCTGGGAGTTTTTTTTTAATTTGGATTCTGTGGCTCTGGGATTGGGTCTGAGATTCCAAATTTCTAATAAGCTGACAGTCCTGGTCACGGATGCTGCTGATCCATGGTCCACACTTTTCACAGCAAGACAGTCCGGGGCGTGTGCGCTGAGTCACTCAGTCGTGTCCGACTCTTTGTGACTTTATGGACTGTAGCCCACCAGGCTCCTCTGTCCATGGGATTCTCCAGGCCAGAATACTGGAGTGGGTTGCCATGCCCTCCTCCAGGGGATCTTCCCAGTGCAAGGATCAAACCTGCGTCTCTGGCATCTCCTGCATTGGCAGGCAGGTTCTTTACCACTGGGCCACCTGGGAAGCCCGAACAGTAGGATAGTGTTTCTCAGATTTTCGTGTGCATTACAGTCACCAAAGGCCTTGTTAAATATGGATTCTTCTGCCTATCTCAGAGATTCAGATACCCTGGACCTGAGAACTTGCATTTCTAACAAGCTCTTAGAGGATGTGGTGGTTATAGGTCTGTGACAGTCAGGTACTAAGGATCAAATCCTGTCCCAGGTCCTAAGCCCACACTAAAACCCTATCCTTACCCCAAAAGATAGAAAAACACTTGAAGCTTTGTGATGGTTCCTGAGTCCCCTGGCCTGGAGAGGAGGAAGCCTTAAAAAAAAAAAATAATGTGAAATCTGCCTCTGATATAACTCAGAGAACCCACTATTTCCTAACTTATTCTAATACTAGTGCAATGAGGTATTGATTATACTACAAACATCTGATCTATTTTATTTCACTTAAGCTAATGATTAGAACTTAACATTGTTATATAGAAACCAGAAAGCAGATAACCTAACAGAAGGGTAGGAAAAAAATGGGTAAAATAAACCAAACTTTGTATGAAATTCATCTAGCTGTCTGAAAACTTATTTGGGTTTCTTTCAGTTAAAGGACAAAGACACTTTTTTTGTTGACTTGATTTACTTTTAAATTGAATGGTCCAACTCATAACAGTTATTTTGCCATCAATGGTAAAAGTTAAGATGATAATCAAATGCAAATTGAAATTTAATTTAGAATTATTTACTATTCTTTTACATAGTAACAGCATTTTGCCATCAAATTTTATAAAAGCCAATAAATTGGTTCAGTGATTCACTGTTTATTTGTTATGTAATAGTCTTTGGTGCTGAGATGTAAAATGTAATGGAAAGTCAGAAAAGAGAGAGCCAGGAAATGGACTATAAAAACCAATTTCTACTTTTAAATTAAGCTTACAAATAAGAACTTGACAGCTAGCAGAATTGTTTTTCCATTAGACATTACTCCCAAGAGCTATATTACATGATAAATGAACATTTTTCATTATACATCCTGCATGACACATTCATAAATGGCTATTCACAGAACTATTTTACTCCTAACTTAAAAAAGTAAAATAAGAACTTTGAATTACCCTCTGTGCTTTCATTGTAAACATAAAAACAATTATTTATAGTCCCTCATCCTTCTGCCATTGAATTCCTTGTGGTTTTGTTTTCTTCAGAATGCAATGAGGGCCACCGTTGAATACCAGGAAAACTGTCCTTCCTTGACACCAATTGAGGTGATTGTTGTCTTGGGGAAAGAAGATCTTACAATTAAGGTAGCTATTCTGTTTTTTCTTTTGAGTCCTTCTTGAGAGAATTTTTAAAAAGGAGTCAATAATAATAAAGCTGTCTGCTTTGAGCTACAGATCAAAGTCATGTACAGGTGAAGACAAGACATTTTTGTATAGACAAATACACATTGTTTTTAGCATATAACTCTGATGCCTTGTTTGTTTAAGATTTCAGACAGAGGAGGTGGCGTTCCCCTGAGAGTCATTGACCGTCTCTTTAGTTACACGTACTCCACTGCACCAACGCCTGTGATGGATAGTTCCCGGAATGCTCCGCTGGTAAGACCAATTAAATGACTAAGTTCATCCGAGCCACCTAGTTCTAAATGTACAGCAAGGATTATAAGGATGTATTTAGGCAAGTTAATCAATTTAGTTTAACTGGGCCTGGGGGGTATGAGAAGGAATGATAAAGCCAACTAAGAAACAGTTATCCAAGGGGTTTCTGATTGGAAGCAGAAGATATGTGTCTAAGTCCTAGGACATCAGTATCAGGGAGTATATTTTGTATTTCTGTGATGGTGTTCACTTCTTTTTAAGTAACTGATCTTTCCCTTCCAGGCTGGATTTGGTTATGGCTTGCCGATTTCTCGTCTCTATGCCAAGTACTTTCAAGGAGATCTAAATCTCTACTCTTTGCCAGGATATGGAACTGATGCTATCATCTACTTAAAGGTATCCTTTAAATCCAATATAAAAAGAATCATATTTCTGAAAAGATTGCTTCTGAGTTCTATGATCCTTGGTGAATACCCCAAACTGAGTTAGCACAAATATTGACCACAAGCCATTACATTTTCTGTTTGGTATGTGTAAACATACTCATTAATATTTAGTATGGTAATGTGCCAAAAAGGAAGTGAGGCCACCCTACCTGCCTCAGTGAAGCAAAATGTTTCCCAAGAAGCGCAGTAGTTTCTGAGTGAGGAGATGCTCACGTGAATTTTTCAAGGCAGCTTAACATCTGTGAGAATAGCTGTAGTTTTGTTTTACTTAGGCTTGTGGGAAATGCATATATGCTAATAATGTTTCAGCCTAGAAGACAAGACCTTAAGCTGACCCTATTAGAAATCCAGGGGGAGGAAAGCTGACTGCTAAGAAGCTGTCAAGGGGGTGCCTGGCACTTCCTGTTTAAACTTTAAAACTCGGTACATGTTTTTTCCATTTCTGATAAAGCCTCAATTTATTTGTTAAGGTCACTGTCCTGATTCTGGTTAATCATTTGCCAACTAGTTCAAATGAAAAAACATTCACAGTCATTAGCAACTAAAACATTAAGCTTCCAGGCTCCTGTTTTGCGCAAGGGAGTTATTTACCACATGGTCTTAGGACACCTGGGGAGAAGGCAATGGCACCCCACTCTGGTACCCTTGCCTGGAAAATCCCATGGACGGAGGAGCCTGGTGGGCTGCCGTCTATGGGGTCGCACAGAATCGGACACGACTGAAGCGACTTAGCAGCAGCAGCTTAGGACACCTGAGATAGTTAATGTATTCATTTCTTAAACAGTAAAAATGTCTTCAATGTATTGAGAAATATTAATGTATTATAGATCTATAGTGTCAGACTTTAATAGATCAATAGTATCAGGTTAGGACTCTCACTTTATTACATATACAGATGTCTTGCCTGGAAAACCTATTTGTCTATTTTTATTCAACTCTGTAACTAGCAATATCCAGATAAGGGGCATGTGTAACTACTGAATACAAATACTGTTCCCAAACTTATTTTGTTGTTCAGTCACTAAGTCGTGTCTGGCTCTTTGTGACACTGTGGACTGCAGCACGCCAGGCTTCCCTGTCCTTCACTTATCTCCCGGAGTTTGCTCACACTCATATCCACTGTGTCAGTGATGCTATCTAACCATCTCATCCTCTGCAACCCTCTTCTCCTCTTGCCCTCCTAATTTACAATTGTATATATACTGTTTCAGGCCCTATAGGGTATAGATAATATTTATTTTTCAATTTTCTTTCATACAGTGCCTACCATACCGTGGACTGTTGGTGTGCTTTTATTATTAAATTAATTAAAAGAATGTATTTGAATGTTTGAATGCTTACCTCTGAGTTTCTTTTGAACAATTACTTTGGGTACGAAGTATGCAATGAATAATTTCTCTGGCTTGATTTTTCCCTCTTTCAGGCTCTGTCTTCTGAGTCCATAGAAAAACTCCCAGTCTTTAACAAATCGGCCTTCAAACATTATCAGACGAGCAGTGAGGCTGGAGACTGGTGTGTCCCAAGCAAGGAACCAAAGAACCTGGCAAAGGAAAGAGTGGCCGCGTGAGGAGGGCCTCGCGGACACTTTAAGGGATCAAAGTGGATCTGTGCCAGCGCTGCTTCAGGAATGTCTGCCCGTGAACCCTTGTTTCCTCAAAAACAAACAGCAGCAACAAAAACCCCTTGATCGGAACACTGATGTGAAGGGAAGAGGGCTCCTTTCTGTGACCCAGGCGAGCACAGGGCAGGACGGCAGGAGTAACGGCTGGCCAGCTCTTTATTCTCCTCACTTAGAATAACGCCTGAGTTTGTGTTACATCCTGAAGAAGAAATAAGCCTGTCTACCATCTCTTTATCAACAAAAAGGGGAAGGAGTGAGAAGGGAAGATGAAGGCTAGCAGTTTCAACCGACTGATACTTTAGGCCGTTGGTTGATGTCATCAGATATTGGTATTTATGGCAATACCTTCCTGCCTCTCAAAGGATGAGGGCTTATTTTATACTGTATGATTTGAAATGTATATAAACATATGTTTCATAAATATGCATTCTAGAGGTGAAAAATCAGTGACTGAAATAACATTTACTTCGAATGAGGGCAAATGAGCCAACACGCTTTATTCAAAGTTGCGGCCAAGGCCTGGGTCTATGTAAAAACTCAGAAGAAAGCCCCTTCTGATAAATAAGGTGCCTTTATTATGTTGCTTTTCCTGCTCACACCTCAAATAAGAAGTGAGCACTTATTGCAAGGTGCATATGTCTTGGTTGAATTTAAAATGTGCACTGAATTCTGGACGTTGGCAGTTGGAGGGAGAGAAGAATTTCCAAAGTGATAGCAAAACCTCACTTTTCTTTGCTTACAAGTGAAACAGAAGTAGATTGGAAAAACAAGTATTAGGGAAAGAAATCAGGCATTCAGAATCTAACTCAGTAGGAAGGGCTGTTCTCCACCCCACAATGGTGGTAATCCAAAGGCATCTATTTTCTAGGCTTAAAGAGATATATACTTTTATATATTTAACTATGTTCTCCACCATTAACATCTGATAAAAATGTGTAATTAACAAATGGTTCCAGAACATTAGAATTTAAATACTTCCTGGAGTATTTTTAACAAAGAGCCTGCGGGTAAGAGATTTTCATGCCATGCATGGATGCTTTCATTTGTAAATTGTTGTGAATGAGAGCTAATGCATGAAAGCTGTAATGCATATGGCACTTTTGGGGAGTTCAGGCGGAATGTGCAGGTGGACACGGCAGTCTAGCACATGCCTCTCAGAGCAGAAACGAAGAAACAAAAGGAAAGAAGGAAGGAAAGAACGATGGAAAAGGAGGAGGGAGGGAAGCAGAAGGCAAGCATCTTGCTATATTCCCCATAAATTATTTCAAGAAATGATCCATATTATCATGGATAAATTATTGACAAGAAGATGAATTGGTGTTTTTCAAAACAGTATGGCTTCTTTCAGTGTTTTTTTCACTCTTGCAAGATAATAGGCTTTTACGAGATAATAAACTCATCTGTGAAACTGGAATATTTTTTTAAAAAAAACAGCTAGTAGTTTCTGTTTTGTAAAATAATCAGTGCCATCTATATGTTGGACCTAACATTTGTGGTTAATTTTCTCCTGGCCTAGTGTTGCGGTGCTTCTGGTAGTGGCCATAGAAGGCTCAGACAGTTTGCTGTGGATTTCAGGTTTTATCATCAGAAGTCCTGGAGGAGACTTTCTTGATTGTGGGACTCTGGCTCATGCATTTATTGACTATATACAACTATTTGCAATAGAATATTTGACTTGTCAAAAATCTAAACATTTTTGCATGTAAATATTTGTGTTTATCAAAAGAATTAAAGCAGTTGATTAACAGTTAACCCAAATACTGGGAACTGTCTTTAAGACACTAGAGAATAAGAAATGTTGGTATCTCAGTAACATCAAATGTGTAAATGGAACTGTATAAAATAGAAGGAGTCGATACTGGTATTTGTGAAATCTGTGGAAGAGCTTTAGGATCTTAGTGGATGGAAACTGAATGTTCAGGCCCACTTAAATTATTAATGTATAAATTGTGTTTTTGTGTCTAGGTTATGTACAGAGAAATGTGATAATTTTTATAATAAATATTTTTTATTATAATGATAGATATAATCTTTTAAAGTGCTTTTCTTAAATTAATGGAAATTAACTTTACATCAAATCTCATTTATATTTTGGTTTTAGAAAAACTTAAATCTTAATTTTTAAATGAAAGATAAACACCTTATAGCATTCCAGAAATTTCTGATTGTCCTTTGCTTTCTTGGTTATGCCCCAATAACACATAGTAAAATGTATGTTTATCTACATGAATAAATTAAATAATCAGTTTTGTAATGCATGTATTCTCTACATTTTTGGGATAAATCTACTTTAAAGTCTCACTTAGTGACTGTATTTGCAAGTACGGAAGAGTATCAAAATAATTACCTAGATAATTTAGGTTCCCAAACAATTTATAGATTAAATATCTTAATAATAATACAGTAGAAATATTATAGAAGTACTAAATTAAGTGGTGACAAGTTTTATCTCTGCTAAGTTCACACTCTTTCTTTACTAATTTAATCCTATTTTATCATTTGACAACATTCTCCACTCACCTCCATAATGCCCTTATTTCAGAGTTTGTAACAAAAAGAATGGAGGGAGTGAAGGAGAGAGGGAAGCAGAAGGAAGGAAGAGAAGAAGGGAGAGAGAGAGGGTAAAAAGAAAAGGAATTAGAATAAAATACAATTAGTGGAATGAGTTTGCCATAACTGAATTCTAAAATCTTGTCAGGGTAATCATCAGTTCAGTTCAGTCACTCAGTCGTGCCTGACTCTTTTCAATCACATGGACTGCAGCACGCCAGGCCTCCGTGTCCATCACTAACTCCCAGGCTTTATTCAAACTCATGTCCATTCAGTCAGTGATGCCCTCCAACTATCTCGTCCTCTGTCGTCCCCTTCTCCTCCCACGTTCTATCTTCCCCAGCATCAGGGTCTTTTCAAATAAGTCAGTTTTTCACATCAGGTGGCCCAAGTATTGGAGTTTCAGCTTCAACATCAGTCCTTCCAATGAACACCCAGGGCTGATCTGCTTTAGGATGGACTGGCTGGATCTTCTTGCAGTCCAAGGGACTCTCAAGAGTCTTCTCCAACACCACAGTTTAAAAGCATCAATTCTTCAGCACTCAGCTTTCTTTATAGTCCAACTCTCACATCCATACATGACCACTGGAAAAACCATAGCTTTGACTAGATGGACCTTTGTTGGCAAAGTAATGTCTCTGCTTTTTAATATGCTGTCTAGGTTGGTCATAACTTTCCTTCCAAGGAGTAAGCGTCTTTTAATTTCACAGCTGCAGTCACCATCTGTGGTGAGTTTGGAGCCCCCAGAAATAAAGTCTGTCACTGTTTCCACTGTTTCCCCATCTATTTGCCATGAAGTGATGGGACCAGATGCCATGATCTTAGTTTTCTGAAATGTTGAGCTTTAAAGCCACTTTATTTTTGGCAGCTCTTCTTAATATCTTCTGCTTCTGTTAGGTCCATATAATTTCTGTCCTTTATTGTGCCCATCTTTGCATGAAATGTTCCCTTGGTATCTCTAAAGATAATCATATATGAATAAAAAATTCCATAAAAAAAAAATTCCATCAACCTACAGCATTAGATCCTAAAGAACCTATACCTAAGCCCTTAATCAGTAACACTCTCCTTCACTTGACTACCTTCATTTCTTCTTCTATCAAGGAAGTACCACATTGTGTCTGAATAAAGCCCAGGAACACATACACATGTGGGATTTAGCTCCCCATCCCAGTATTCTTGGCTGGGAAATCCCATGGACAGAGGAGCCTGGTGGGTCTCAGTCCATATGGTTGCAGAGAGTCAGACATGACTGAGTGACTAACTTTTCCCTTGAATTAAGCTACTTGGGAAGTACGGTGTTACCACATGCCCTGGGCTCAGAGCTTCATCTACTTTTCCATAAAAACTGCAAGACTTCAAGTCCCACAATTCTGTTTATGCACACATACATCTTTTCAAATTTTCAAGTTCAACAAAGTGGACTAAATTTTCATTAAAATTAACTGTATACCACTTCTCCCAAATTTCAAATTTGGTTCAAAATGGTAAGAGCATTTGATCTTAACTATAATAACATGGGCAAAGAGAGATTATTGTGAGCTAATAGCTTAAGTGTTGCCCTTAAACTTTCTTTATTCTCTGACTACATTTTCAGGTACTATATTTACATTTAGTTATGTACCAATACTGCAAATGTACATAGTATCGCCAAGTCACTTCAGTCTGTCTTGATGAAAGTATTGAGGAATTTTCATAAGTCCACAGGAGCTCATGTAAGAGGTTCCCAAGCCCCCCACCTTGAACAGTTAGAGCGGTAGGCTTCTATCTCCATTAACAGTCTACCCATACATCTCTTGAGGGGATGTTTCACTTTTTACCTTGCATCAGAGTTACTTAAGTAAAGTAAGTGAAAGTCACTCAGTCATGTCCAACTCTTTGCGACCCCATAGACTATACTGTCCATGGAATTGTCTAGGCCAGAATACTGGAGTGGGTAGCCTTTCCCTTCTCCAGGGGATCTTCCCAACCCAGGGATCGAACCCAGGTCTCCCACATTGCAGGTGGATTTTTTAACAGCTGAGCCATTAGCAAAGCCCAAGAATACTGGAATGGGTAGCCTGTCCCTCCTCCAGAGGATCTTCCCGACTAAGGAAATGGACTGGGGTCTTCTGCATTGCAGGCGGATTCTTTACTAACTGAGCTAAGACAGTAACTTAGACACTCAATAAATGTTTCCTGGATAAATACATGGCTAAACATATTAAGTAACCTCTGGCTTTAGAACATCATCCCTGCATTTAAAAGCAGATTCAAACTCTGTGTTAAATGTGGAGAAATAACTCCAGAATGAATGAAGAGATGGAGCCAGAGCAAAAACAAAACCCAGTTGTGGATGTGACTGGTGATGGAAGTAAAGTCCCATGCTGGAAAGAGCAATATTGCATAGGAACCTG